AGGCTCAGTAAACTGAGCCGAACGGCGTTCGGATATTTACTTCGGCTAAAATCAGACGTACATCGGCTGGCTTCGGTCAGCCGGACATGCTCAGCCTGTTCGGCTGAGCCGAAGTGCAGAAGCCGTTCGACTCAGCTGAGTCAACATCTGGATCGGCTGAGCCGATCTCATAGGGGCCAAACAGCAGTGAGTGAATAGCCGAATGCTGCTAAGCGGCATTTGGCTTGGCTATTCTGCTTGCTACCTCTGAGGTAACAAGCAGAATAAAAAAATATATAAACAAATGCTAAACAAATATATAATATTAATATTAATATTATAAACAAATGCTAAACAATTATTTAAATAAATGTAAAAAAAGAAAAATACATTTTGTTTAAAGAAAATAATAAAAAAATGTAAAGAAAAGAAAAAATAGCATGGGGTCCCTCCTCCCAAAGGAATGTTAAGAGGGACCCCAAGTTAAAAAAAATGTGCATGGGGTTCCCCCCAAAAGTCATGCCAGGCCCTTTAGGTCTGGTAAGAATGTTAGGAGGGACCCAAAGTTAAAAAAAGAAAAAAATGTGTGCGGTTCCCCCCAAAATTCATACCAGAGCCTTTAGGTCTGGTAGGAATGTTAAGAAGGACCCCAAGTTCAAATAAAAAAAAATTAGTGGAGTTCCCCCCAAAAGACATACCATGCCCTTTAGGTCTGGTAGGAATTTTAAGGAGGAACCCCACCATTCCTAACCAGACCCTTGATCCAAGCAGAGGCTTTGCAGGGGTTGAGATTGTAAAAGCACACTCCCAGTGCTGAGGGCATGTTGTCTGGTATGGAAGGGGGGGGGGCGCGCGCCCCCCCCCCCCCCCCCCCCCCTGCCATACCAGGACACATGCCCTCGGCCAAAGCTACGGCTAGATCCTTTGTGAATAACCCTCTTAGATATCTTGCCTAGATTTACAGGTGTACATCATTGATTATAGACACTATAAAAATCATATAATAACATGTTAATCCAAAGATTTATCTGAATGTTATTAGCGGTCAGGAAAGATTTTCTCCCTGGTATGCTTGAACTCAGTGGACATTCACTTTTGTTCAGCTGAAATAATGATGCATCAATGTAATTATACAAAAGGGTTCTCCATTAACACACGATAATCTAGTTAGTCTAAATTATATTAATGGTGTACATTTATAGACATGCTTTTAATCATGTAAAAAAAAACAGATTTACATCTAATATAGTCCAATATCTAATGCTTGAAATTAGATATAAAATAAATGACAGCAATCTTTCTTTCAGAAGAACAGAGATGAGCAAATTGATTTAAAGTGTATGTCTAGCCAAATTTTTTTTCTAGTTTTAGATTGAGTGGGGGATTGTTAGAACCCCTTTCAGGTTTTTACTGCTCTCCTGGGTTCCATTGGAGAGATTTACCCTCAGGGGTCTATTCACGAAGCAGCCGATCCTTCGGCTAGCTCCGGCCCCAGGACCCCTTCGGTTCAGTAGAACCGAAGGGCTGCTGTACGGGCTATTCACAATAGGCTAGGTCGAGCCGAAGACATATGCCTCAACTCAGCTGAGCCGCGCTGAAAGCCGACAGCCTGCTTCTGACAGCTGGGCGGAGCCAGCCGTGATCTCACGGCTGGCTCCGGCCACTTGCAGAGAGATCAGCGTCCCTGGTTACCAGCTAACCAGGGACACTGATCTCCAGACAGCAAACTCTCCCGGGCACTCCGGGAGTCTCCAGCTCCCGGCCGCCCAGGAGGGAAACACAAATTTTACCCAAAGGAATGCATTGCTAGATTCCTATTGGCTATTTCAATCTGCAATAGCCAATAGTAAACTAGCATTGCATCGGTCCTCTGCTGCAGTTCTCCATCAGGTCCATCAGCAGAGGGCGGGTACAATGCTAGTTTACTATTGGCTATTACAAATTGAAATAGCCAATAGGAATCTAGCAATGCATTTCAATGGGCAAAAATTATTATTTATTTTTTTCTATTTTGAAACAGCTCCGTGTCAGAATAAAGAAAAACAGAAAAAGCAGTGTTTCTCTACTGGGTGGCCAGGAGCGGGAGACTCCTAGAGCGCCCGGGAGAGTTTTTTTCTTTTCTTTTTTTTGTGACGGTAGCAGAACCGCCGGACAATAGAAAACTGTTGGGGCGGAGCTAGCTGTCATTGCTAGCTCCGCACAATTGTTTTCTATTTATTTTTTTGTACTTTTTAACAATTTTTCTGTTCTGCTCGGTCCCTCCTGAATGAACACCACTAAAGGCTAAAGAGCTTTAATTCAACTGTGTGTTGCAGCACGCTTGGATGCATTGCTACGCACTGTAACATGCTGAGTTGTAAAAAAATATTGCTTGTATCATTTTATGACAATGCACACCAATGCAGTGCACAAAGGAACTGTGGATTGGGCATAAATACAATGCATAGACAACCTACAGATTTTAGCATAAGTCGCCTATTTATCGTTTTGCATACCTTTGATTTTCACCATTTTGCAAAAAGGCACCATTTTAAATTAACAGATATTTGTTATTTATTACCGCAATACAGATTTATTATTTAGATTTAGTAGGAATTTTGTAAATTATATCGTTTTTTTGTGCGCTAATGTTGATTTTAGTGTATTTTTCTTGAAAATATTGTTTTGATAAACATTTGCGCAACTATTGTGGAACCTACAAAATCGGTAGCACTATTTTCTATTCTACCAGTCCTGCACAATTTTTCGCATGTTCACAGTTGCATCATCTGTGAATGAGACCTAAAATTGGAGAGAAGAGCCTGACATCGAAAGGGTGAAGCCCAACTGAAGTTTCAGAAAAATACATTTACTTAGAGAGATATTATACTAATGCCTCAAGACTTGATGGATAGCTATAGTTGCGCCAGGAGTACTAAACGTGTCTAATTGATAAAGCAACTAGTGGACCAGCTGCAACAATATGTGGTGTTGTACCCGTGTTTGTTTGTGATATTTTGTTGCACTCGGTCTATGTGAATACCAAATAAAATATTTTGATGCGCTCGGTCTATGTGAAAACCAATAAAGCCAATACATACATACATATATATATATATGCATATATATATATATATATATATCTATAAGACGCACCGGACCATAGGACGCAGGGAGGTCCGGCGCACCTTATGGAGCACTTGACAGACTGAAGCTTCTTTCATAGCTTCTATGACAGAAGCTGCAGTTAGTGACCGCTGAGACAGGTGGCGCTGTGATTACAGCGCCACGGTCTCAGTGATCACACAGAGCAGACGAAGAACGTCCGTTCGTCGTCTGCTCTATGGTGATCTCGATCATCGCCGCTGCTCGGTTTTAATACGAGTGATCTCAATAGATCACTCGTATTAAACGAGCAGTGGCTCCTACTGCTGAACTCGATCGCCGCCGCCGCTGCTCGGCTTTAATACGAGTGATCTCATTAATCACTCGTATTAAACAAGCAGTGGCTCCTACTACTCGCCCGGCGCCCGAAACTGCATGTCTTGGGCGTCGGGATTCGCTCCATAAGACGCAGGCACATTTCCCCCCTCCTTTTGGGGGGAAAAAAGTGCATCTTATGGAGCGAAAAATACGGTATATATATATATATATATGTTGCACAGACAAATTTGAGGAACCATATAATTTTGTTTAGTTTCCGCTGATATGAGGTGATTTCACTCACCATTTTTGGATTATATTGATATGCACAAAGACCATTAAGGTAATATTCACGAAATGATTTTCACTCGTTAAAGTTAAAAGGTTTATTGGTTTTCACATAGACCGAGCGCAACAAAATATCACGAACATAATGGCCTCCATTTTTACAGTCTCACTTCCATATTCCTGTAGTTGTGCAGTGTGATTTAATATGACTGTGCAGTCCAATAGGTACCACAGTTTAACTTAATTTAATTTGTAGTCTAAAATACTGGGTCAAATGCACTCTCTCTCTTTCTCAGCAATGCAAGTGCGAGGAAGCTTATAATATGGGGTATGGCCATATCACATATGCAGTATCACACTTTCCACCATGTTCATTCTTTAAGATACTCCTAGAAGAACTATTTTATGTGTAAACTTTTTGAAACAAATAGCACTGTAATTGTAAAATGTTAACAAACCTCAGCTGACTTTTCTACACACATTAATATCAACATTATAAAAATGTGCCTAAACCACAGGTAAACACATTTCATGCTTCCTATGCACAAATACCACCACAAAAACAACATAGGAAAACATGCAGAAAACGATAATTTACTTTGAAGTGCAATTTTGTTCTCTTTACCTTCTCAGCAGACTGAGCAGTGCCAAAGAAAATTGGGATGAAGGCCAGCCACACAATGCAAGTGGTATACATGGTAAAACCAATTGGCTTTGCCTCATTAAATGTCTCTGGAACCCCACGGGTTTTGATAGCATAAACAGTGCAGGTAACCATAAGAAGCATGCTGTAACCCAAAAGGCAAATAAGGGAAAGGTCTGAAATGTCACATTTGAGCACTCCACGTGCCTGCTGGGGATCTGGTGTTCGCTGGTTTTCATAGTCCACAACAGGCCTGGATGGGTCCACAAAAAACCATACAAGCACTCCCAGCAGCTGAACTGAAGAAAGACTGGCAGTGATCACCAACTGAGAAGATGGGCTGATATAACGTGGTGCACTGACTGATTTTTTACCCTGCTCAAAAATACGGTAGATACGATTGGTTTTCGTAAGCAGAGCAGCATAACTAATACTCATTCCCAGTCCAAGAAAGACTCTTCTCAGTGAGCAGGTTCCATATCCTGGTTGGGCTACCATAATGAAAGTGTTGACATAGCACAAGAAGATACCAGTGAGAAGGACATAACTTAGTTCACGACCAGAAGCCTTAACAATAGGCGTGTCATTGTATCGCATGAAGGTGCCCATAACTATCAGAGTTGCCACGATGCCTAACACAGCAAGAAGGACAGGCACAACTGCCCAGGGAGAACTCCACTCGAGCTTGATGACTGGAATTGATGTGCAGAATGTGTGGTTTTCATTTGGTCTCATGTGGATTGGGCATCTTTTGCAGGTATAAGCATCAAGCTGGTACTGATAACCTTCACATTTTTCACAATGCCAACAGCAGGGCATTCCTTTCACTACTTTCTTCCTTTCACCTGCCAGGCAAGGTTGGCTGCAGACAGAAGGAGGAATCTGTGGGAAGCTGGAAGAGGAGACGGGGGTGCCTGGCCAGTCCATACGATCAATCTTGATGGTGAAAAAAAACATGGAAAAATTGGAAAAGAAGGACAAGTGTAAAAAAAAAGATGTTTTCCTCTAACTATTATAATTCTATCACTATTTTTCTTCAGGCATTCACACTGATATTAATTGTGTGCAATATTTTATGTAATTGATTGATGCAAGTCAAGAAATCCAGTATTGAAAAATACAGTGGTAGCCATTGCTGATCTACTTGTGAAAACGTTAGTTGCCTGGCTGCCATACTGATCCGATCTAATGTACCCCGAGTTCAATGACCTAGAACAAGCAAGATCATGAAAGCCAGAACTCCTAATCCGCATTCGTGTCCCAAGTCATTTAACAAAAAGTACTAAAACCATTGATTAAGCAAGACAGCCACACAATTAACATTTTCAGGAGAAATGGATGGCATAATTCTTAATTCATAATTCTCCATAATTCTTTAGCAAAGGTTTTCTTTCAAGACTTTAGATGTCATATCTACAGTATATGTATACTGTATATGTCCTCCCTCTTTACAACTGTGGGTAGGCTGGTAGCCTAGACACATTATCCCTGTATTTGTAGGGAATTCCACTACCATTACTATGAGCAAGAATTATTATAGTTGTGCCCCCATATAAGATCACTGTGCTTAAGCTGATATCACTCTTCTTGGCCCTGTGAGAACCAACACATGCTCCTGACTAATTTTCTATGCTAAGCTTACATCAGTCAGCTAAATAATGTGTTCCTTTGCTTACTTTGAGGTGAAGATGATCTGCCCACTGTCCAATCACTCTATATTCAGGGGTTCCATTGTGGATTTGGTATTGGTAGATTTCATAACGACCTGGTGCATCACCATTCTCATTGAACGTCACTGGTGTACCAGCAATACCTGTAAAATAATATATGCACACTTGCAACACATTGTGTGTTTTGACATCATTTCACCCAGCCATGGTCTTCACTATGCAGGACAAAGATGTCAAATTGACAGTTCAGTCCTGTATATTACACTGGAAGAGTGCGTCTCTCTCAATGTAATTACAGGAACTCTGTCAGTGTGACAGCTCTCAGCTCTACTTCTATATCGCTAAAATATCTCTATTTTGGTAATTATGTAGCAAAAAAAGTTCCAGTTAGAATTAATTCACCATAAAATGTTATTGTTTAATTGGGAAAAATATTTATTTATCTATTTTGGTTAAACAATTCTATTCACATGCTTGTGGTATTGTATATTATATATTGGTATATTATTGGTATTTAGTTGCCCACTTCCATAGCCAAATACATAGTTTCATATTTACATAGTTGATAAGATTGAAAAAAAAGTCACAGGTCCAATATGTTCAATCTAAAAAAAAAATCCTCCCTGACCCCACAATAGCGATCAGATAAATCCCTTAAATAACCTTCTAACGAATTTAAAAATTCCCATAGCCCTATATATTATATATCTAAACGTTTTTCTGCATGTATTTACACTCTCAGATAATACTATTTCCTGAGGAAGAGAGTTAAATTTGACTTCTCTAACAGTAAGGAGCCCATTTTTCAGTTTAAAATTAAGACTCTTTTAGTCCAACTGTGGCCACATGTCTTCTTTAGGGAGCTTAGAGTAAACAGGTTATTACAGTTTATATAACCACTTTTGATGTACAGTATTTGTGCAATTTGATTCTCCCTTTTAAACCCTCTTCTGTTCAGTGAATAAATGTAATCTTTGCAATTATTGCTCATAACTGAGGTGCCCCAATCCCATTATTAATTTTGTTGCCCTTCTCTGAATACCTAGTTCAAGGACATCCTTTCTGTGGATTGATGGCTGAAACTGAATTGCATGTTCAAGATGAGGCTGAACCAGTGTTTTAAAGGGGTAGTAATGCAGATGTATCTCTTGAATATATGCCATTTGTAATACAAGAGAGTATTCTGTTAGCTTTGCTTTAGCTGCAGATTGGCATTACATACTTTTGAGTGCATAACTTTACATTTCTCCATATTGAACCCCATCTGCCATGTAGGTGCCCCTATTTTATCTATGTCTCCTTGTAACGATAATACATCTTGTGCCGAAGTTAGTTCCCTGTATAATTTGGCATTGTCAGCAAACACTGAAATTGAACAACTAAATTCCAACTCCAGTATCATGATGAAACAGGTTAAAAATCACTGGCCCCATGACACAGCCCTGGGGCACAACACTCACAACCTTAGACCATTTAGAGGTTTTCTATCCATGTACATACAGTTTCTACTACACAAATACACCCTATTTTGTAAATAAACATTTATGAGGTACAGGGGTGATTTACTAACCTAAACACACGCACGCACCAGGTGCGTGTGATTTTTACACAGCAAAGCGTATTTATCAACCAAAAAGTCTCTATAAGCATATTTCCACTAATGCCATATATGGAAAAATCATGCACATGATGCATATATAATGCTGCTTCACAGTTTAGACAAAAATGGTTAGCTCATGCATTTACATTCCTGCATTCATCAACGCAAGCAACACAATGTAGAGCTAATTTACACAACATCACCTTGCAATTCAGGGCAGGGCTTTGCACAACACACCTGCTGGGTGTGTACACACTACAAAGGTGTTTAGATTCCACCCATGGATCATGCTGGGAGGGAACACACTACAGAGGTGTATACATGTTCGTGGTGTGTTTATAAGGTTAGTAAATCCACCCCACAGTGTTGAATGCTTTAGCAAAATCCAGATTCAGACAGTCCCCGGGTTACGAACAAGATAGGGACTGTAGGTTTGTTCTTAAGTTGAATGTGTATGTAAGTTGGAACAGGTACATTTTTTAAGTGTAACTCCAGCCAAATGTTTTTTTATTTTTTCGATAGCATAGGGAAGGGTTAACCCCCTGTAAAGTTTGTTTTGCTGTTTGTGCCCCTGTTCAGAAGATTTCACCTCACTTTCAAACCTTGTGACAATTGGATTTGGGAAATTTTGGGTTGTTACCATTCCAGCCAGTAAGGTGTCCTTAAAAATTTGAAACAATAGACTGGCTATAACACAGCACAACTCTCTTAGGGCTCATGGGTGTAAGCCATCTTAATCTGGTGATGTATTCCTTATTCATTATTTATTGGTGAGTTAGTCTAATCTGTTCTGAACCTAGATTTCTGTCAGTCACAGAGGTACATTCAGTACATTGTTATTTGCATTACTGTACTGGCTATCAAACCAGTCTTTTTTGTTGTATAAACTGAAGAGAAAAATGTATTTAATACATCTCCTTTCTCCTTTTCACTTGTGACCAACTCTTGGGATGTTAATCTTTAATGGGGTCTTCATGTTCTGTCCTTACCATTTTACTATTAATATATGTGAAGATTTTTTTTAATTTGTTTTACTTTCTGTCGCAATAGATGTTTCATACAAACAGAAGAAAAGCTGATCGCACAGGGGATTCACCTGGAATAGATTATTGAAGCTTGTACAACATCACTGGTTTCCCAGCAGCAAGCACCCAGCTCATTCCTTCCCTGAACTGTGAAGGAGCAGTGTGTCTTTTGTGTATTCCTATTGAATATGTGTTTCATATGATATTTTAGCTACCATGAATGCTCTTTTGTTACATTCCTTATAGCTCTAAAATGACTAAGGTGTCCTTTTCAATTTATACTTTTTAGAAGCCAGCTTTTTCTCATTAATTTTCCTTTGTACATTAGAATTGAGCCACATAGGTTTTCATTTTATTTTATTATATATGTTGCCCACTGGAATACATTGGCAAATGCAGTTGTTTAAAGTACCCTAAACACTCCCACTTGTCTTCTGTGTTATTTGTTATGAATACTTTGTCTAATTAAATATTATGCAGTAAAGAGTGTAGCTAAGTGATGTCAGCCTTTTTGAAATTTAGCGTTCTTGACACACCAACATGAAACTTATGGCAAATGTATTTACATTATGATCACTATTACCCAAATTGCCTCTAATTTGCACATCTTTAATGAGCTCTCTGTTATTTGAAATGAATAGATACAACAAAGGTATTTTTTCTAGTTGTGGCTTCAACCAACTGACATAAGACTGTCTTGCAATAGTTTCAAGGTATGACAAGACTTTGTGCGGTTCAATTAGCCCAATCAATATCAGGGTAATTGAAATCCCCATAATACAAACATGTCCCTGTTTCCCATCCCAGTCATGTGAGTTGTCTTATCAAGTCAACCATGTTCTTCAAGTAACAGAAGTTCTAGCTCTGGTTTTTTGCTTTTCCAGACTTTTTGCATTTCTGCATATATTTTATTTTTGTGTTATCCTATTATTATTTTGTTATTGCTCACTCTTGATTTACAGTTTGACTTTGAAACACTTTCTGTATTTGACAGAGATAATGCAATATCCCTGTCACCTAGACTAGAAAATAAACAATGGAGATTATAAATACAAAATACAAAAAAATGGCCATTTAGACTAAATATACCATTTTATATTCAATAATAAATATAAAATGAAACATATAAATACACAACTGAAGTTGCCCTGCTACTTCAGCATTTCATGTTGTATAACCAGATTTACATTACTTTACTTTTGGGGGGAAGAGTGTCGCACCTACAATCTAGTGCGCTCATTATTCTACATCTTTCACCAAATGAAAAGAAATCACAAGCCACTAGTACGCTCATAGCCATGCTGTCTTTATAATAATCAGCTACCAACAAATATTTGGCAATACCTCAAGCCATATTATCTTTGTGCCCAGACTAAACCCACTCCTGTCTGCATCTTGACAGGCCTATGTTCAGATTCAATCAACTAGTATGCTGGAATTCAACACAATTCAAGGTGACATGTCTTCACTAGCTTGAAGCTTTTAAGATTGTAGCAGATTGGGGTAATGTAAATCATGTCTCTAATATTGCAAAATTGTGGAATACAAATAATAGATAGAAGGACTTATTTATTAGATGCATCAATCAGTGTTCCATATGTTCTTATAGCATAGGAAAAAGGATTCAATTAAAAATGACACTCATTCTTTAAAAGATGTAATTATTTAGTATGATAATATATTATCATTTATTATCATCCTAATGGTTGTCACCAATATCATAATTTTCTGCCTGAGGACCAGGTATACAGATTTGACAAATTCTGGATTCCTATTCTCTGGTTAAAGTTGTTCTTATGGGAAAGTAAGCCAGTCAAATATAAAATCCAATGTATAAAGCACATATTGCAATTAAATAACAAACAAAAAAACGTTATATTGTATAAGTCTGAGGCAAATTGATAATATTATGTTAATGAATGGGAATGCACTGACATTCTAAGGTTGTTCATCTTACCTGTGAAATTGACATTGCGAATGTATTTTAGGAGTTCAGTTCCATCAACTGGGTCCATACGACTGCAAAGTCCAACACTGCCAGGACAAACAGTTTTGTGTATATTGTGAAGAGCATGAGCCATTGCATATACTGCATCTATAACAAATTGTACTTTCCCCTCTTGCTCATAGGTAGACCCCACACCAATTCGTTCCTGATCTGTGGTTAAAAGAAATACAAAAAACACAAACAGTGGTAAGAGCACTTATAGGGCTGGCCCAGTAAAAACATAGTTTACTTCTCCCTGTTAATTTCCAAACTACACTAAACACAAGCTTAACTAGAAATCACAGCTCCCCATAGCAAAATGTTTATGGGTCCCCTCTCCCATCACAGAAAAAAAAACTGTCAGAGCAAGAGTGGTAACAAATAGACTTGTGCGCCGTCAAAAAATTCGTTCTGTTTCGTTTCGTAAAATCCGTTATTTCGTATTTCGTAATTCGTGTCAAAACTCAATTCGGATTCGTAAGAAATACGAAATTTCGTTAGTGGCTGTTATAGTTTCGTAACTGTACGAACATTCGTTATGATGACGTTAAAAAGCAAAATACCTTTGTTAATATTGGAGTCGATGTGGTAGTTGTTTTTTTATCCGAAATACGAATTCCGTTAACGTATTCCGTATTCCGAATTCCGTATTTCGGACTTTAAAAAAAACTACCATCAACTACAATATAAATGTGCATTGCTTTTTACCTTCAATATAACGGATTTTCGTAACGGAACGAAATTCCGTATCGGAATTTCGTATTTCCTGCCTGTATTGCAATGCAACTCTCAGCAGCAGAAGAGAAAACCTGATTGGTCAACCATAACGAAATATGAATTCCGTTAACGGATTCCGAATCCGAATTACGTATTTCGGATTTTAAAAAAAACTACCATCAACTACAATATAAATGTATATTGCTTTTTACCTTCAATATAACGGATTTTCGTAACCACTGTTCGTATTTCCTGCCTGTATTGCAATGCAACTCTCAGCAGCAGAAGAGAAAACCTGATTGGTCAACCAAAACGAAATACGAATTCCGTTAACGGATTACGTATCCGAATTCCGTATTTAGGATTTAAAAAAAAACTACCATCAACTACAATATAAATGTACATTGCTTTTTACCTTCAATATAAGGGATTTTTGTAACGGAACGAAATTCCGTAACGGAATTTCGTATTTCCTGCCTGTATGTATTGTAATGCAACCCTCAGCAGCAGCGGATCCGTATTTCGGATTTTAAAACAAATCTTGTCATGTTGTTCAACCTCATTTACAGGGGTAATATTAGTTCCCATTTCAAAGAAATTCGGATCCGAAATTCGGAACAGAATTTCGTATTTCGGATATATAATTCGGAAAATGCAATTCGGATTCGGATGCTTCCTAAATTCGGAATTTCAGGAAAATTTGTACGAATTTCGATTCGTAACGAAACGAATCGCACATGTCTAGTAACAAAACCCCTAGTTTCATTTATGTCTGTAGGACTGAGAACAGAATCTCCCAGTTTCACTGGGGATTAATGGGAGTTCGGCTGATTCCAATGCCAGAGGAAGCGGAATTCAGAACAAAGCTTGTTCTTACACAGTTGTCAGTATCAGTACCTTCTGTGCCAACAAACTTCTTGTCCCATGGCTGCCACTGGCTCTCACTTATTACATTAGCACTGAAACTATGTAGCAGCCATTGGGAAGAGATCACTCCACCAAGGACCATAGATAAATAGTGTCCTACTAAGCACACATGTAGAAAAGTGTCCAATAGAAAATATTATATAAAGGAAAGTGTGGTTTTTTAGGGTATTTTAATATAGACCCTAAGCAGTAAAGACCTTTTAATATTTGTATTATTCTTGGGAGCAGCACCTTTGAGAAAGACTCAACAGAGAAGCCAAAAATAAAGAAAAAAGTGTGATAAGCAGGGGTACACTCAGCAGCAGACAGTGAATAATAAAGACTGTAAATCACCATGTCATTTGACAGCCCTCAACGTTCTCATCACTGGAATTGCCACAACCAACAAGTCACCAACAAGGAAAACTGTTTGAATTTCAGTCACCATCCCATTAGAAATGTTAGAAGGGAATTTTTATAGATCTATTCTCCTACCTCAAAGTAAGACAAGTATAACTTGCCTAGATTTGGAAATCCTGAGGCAGCCACCACCAATCCCACTTCTTCATATAACAGAAATAACTAGGAGTTAGGGGAAATTGTGCTAAAATTGTATCCAACCATACAGATTAAAAGGCAATCCAGTCATCTGCTTGATTGGATTGATTCAGCCTGGCTATATTGTTGCAATATGTTTAGAAATTGGCGTTATTTCTGTTGGGGTTGCTTTGGCCACCACTCCCAATTCATTTTTATTATAGATGCATGCACTTCATACCAAACTAAAAAAAAGTACTCATCGATGGTGATTGCTGACCCGATTAGTTGTCAACAGTACCTATTGTAACAGTAGGATATATCTATATATATATCTATATCTATATATATATATCTA